ACGATGGAGACAAATGTTAATATTCAATCTATTGACACAACAGGCAATGATGAGCTATTGATAATTACTGTGCTCCGTGTTCAAAAAAGAGCGGTAATTAAAGAAGGTTCTAAATTCTGCGAAAGATTTTGTGGAACGTATATTTGTTTACAGTGTGTGTGGAAGATCATTGTAAATTTTCATCTATGGAATCTCACCAGATTTTGGACGACGCAAAAATCGTGGATCAGAAAAAGTAGGAAAACAAATCCGGAACAGAACTTTGTTGTGACAAACATCATGGGCGGTTTTGTTAACAAATACTGCAAGGACCACGATAAGTTTGCTGTGGGGCATGTGTTTCTGGCAACCATAGGTAAAACAACAATTATTTTTTTTACACTATTATCCTGATAATTATGTTTTCTTATTTTCCGATGCTAAACCCAAATATAAAGTGTGTAATACCCAGATACCGTGACAGCTGCATGATAGGTCTCGACCATTAATGTTTACAATTTCCAATTTACGATATTACATGGGATTTTCATTTTCTAATTACTGAGTTTTAACATATTTATATAGCTCGATTATAAAAAAAAGTCTGCTTCCTGGATCTACCAATGTATAGCTTATATAGATTGATAAAAAAGAAATATGATAATGATCCAAGTCGGTCTCGAACCTAGGACCCCTTGGTCACTGTAATGAGAAGCTGACCGCCGACGAACCACTAGGCAACCTATCTTTTTGAATAATGTATTCTAGAATTCATAACCTACATTATATAAGTGTAAGTAGGTACGGTGGCACAAAGGTGACATGTGTGTGTTTTTATTTATCTCGTGCGCACGAGATATTATGCCTGTGGTCATAAGTTACTAAGTCGTGGGCCACGAGATAGCTAAGTCGTGGCCACGAAGGATACTATGTCCGTACCACGAGTTTACTAAAAAGTCGTGGCCATGAGATAGCTAAGTCATGGTCACGAAATAAGTTATGTCGTGTCCACGAGTTACTAAGTTGTGGCCACGCGATACTATGTCGTGGCCACGAGTTACTTAGTCGTGGCGTCACTGTGACCCTGATTTTTGACCCAATGACCTCGAAATTATTAGATGTCATCTTCTGATCAGATGCAATGATCTTTCTGGGTTATATAAACCGTGGCTTGTCCCTTCTAAATTATTCATCCGACAGGTAAGGATTTTACATGAAGTGTCATGTTTACCTTGACCCTAAACATTGTTATAGGCTATCTACTGTCCATGGACAATGCCCCAATCCAAATAAAATAAACCAGGACATATTCCTTCTTATTTTATCGTATTAACAAGGCAAACAGGCCGTAGTACGTAAAAACTGACCAATTCGATCACAAAATTGTCCCAACAAATTTTATTGTCTGATGGGCATTGGAATGTGACTTTCTAATATGATCCTAAAGACAAGTTCAAAGTGAATATCTTCAGTATTTCAAAGATTATGGTGCATGTAAAAGTAAGTTGTTAAGTTTTTAAAAAATCATGATATATATAGTGTGTTCTGATTGGTTAATTATCTCGTGCACACAAAATAGTTATCTTGTGGCCACGACTTAGTAACTCGTGACCACGACATAGTATCTCATGCCTACGACTTAATTATCTCGTGGCCACGACAGACATAGTATCTCGTGGCCACGAGTTAGCTATCTCGTGGCCACGACTTAGTAACTTGTGGCCACGACATAGCATCTCGTGGCCACGACTTACTAACTCGTGGCAACTACATAGTATCTCGTGGCCACGACCTAGCTATCTCGTGGCCACAACTTACTAACTCGTGCGCACGAGATAAATAAAAAACACACACATGTCACCTTTCTGCCACCGTAAGGAGGTCTATATATGAAAAATATCAAACAATAGACAAAGAAAATGAATCATGAATAAAAGATGTCCAAAATTTAATCTAAAATATCATTCACGTCAAAATCTAATCTGGTCTGCCATACTTCTTGACAATATTTCGACCTTTCCGTCAGTCTTCGGATAAGGACCTCGCAAGCGATACATCCTCAATAACCTCGTGAGTGTAATCTTCGATAATGTAACACGAAGTATATAGTTATATAGTTGAAATCAAAAGGAAAATTAAGTCTGTTTCAGTTCAATAATGATTTAAAAATTTAATTACTATTTGTTTACATGTCTATAGTTAGATCGAAATACCGCATCCGTTCTGTTTATTCATCGAGGTTCCGAAGACTGACGGAAAGGGCCAAAAATTTGCGATTAAAGGACCTCGAAATACACAGAACGGATACGGTATATATGTAAACAAATAGTAATTAAATGCTTGGACTTGTTGACAAGTTCTTTTCCAATATTTCAAGTAAGTCCAACTATGATATGTGAATTCATAGATACAAGAGCAAACATATTCATAATTATGATTGTAGAAAACGAAAGTTTAAAAAGTCAATCTGTTGATATTAAATCAGAATTTATTTAAAATTGTACACCAGTGGGCATATTTAAATGAAAAAAATGGTTGTCACACATATTTTTATTCATAATTGTACCGAAACAGACTTTATCTTCGTTTGGATTTCAAATATACACCCATGTTTACACTCTCTGTTTCTGTTAACATCTGAAACTTCATGTACTTTTCAATCCGTATTATCTCCGAGGTCATTACAAATAATAACAGAGGACGTTCCGATTGACGTTTACATTTCGAATCTCTTTTAAGGTCGTGTGTTAATATAATGGAAATAGAAGAGGCTGTGAAAAACGCTGATGTAAAAGAACAAAAAGAAGCTAACGAATGTATAGACAAAGGTACTGAGTCTTAAATCATTGATTTTCCGTACAAGGTTTGCGTCGATCTGATTAAAATCAGCTTCGCTAAGACAGATAAGATTTGAACTTGAGTCGGATTGAAAATTTTATGTTTCTAGATAAGATATTACATTATTTTTAGCTCGACTATTCGAAGAATATGAGAGCTATTGTAGTCGCCCCGGCGTCGGCGTCGGCGTCAGCGTCCGCGTCGGCGTCTGCGTTGGTTAAAGTTTTTTGTAAAGTCAAATATCTCAATTATTACTTGAGATATTCAATTGAAACTTACAATACTTATTTATAGTAACAAGGTACATTAGATTGACAAGTTGGATAACTCTGCCTACAATATTGACAGAATTATGCCCCTTTTTAACTTAGAAATTTTGGTTAAAGTTTTTTATAAAGTCAAATATCTCAATTATTGCTTGAGATATTCAATTGAAACTTACAATACTTATTTATAGTAACAAGATACATCAGATTGACAAGTTGGATAACTCTGCCTACAATATTGACAGAATTATGCCCCTTTTTAACTTAGAAATTTTGGTTAAAGTTTTTTATAAAGTCAAATATCTCAATTATTGCTTGAGATATTCAATTGAAACTTACCATACTTATTTATAGTAACAATGTACATCAGATTGACAAGTTGGATAACTCTGCCTACAATATTGAAAGAATAATGCCCCTTTGGAACTTAGAAATTTTGGTTAAAGTTTTTTTGTAAAGTCAAATATCTCAATTATTGCTTGAGATATTCAATTGAAATTTAAAACACTTTTTTATAGTAACAATGTACATCAGTTTGCAAAATTGCATAACTCTGCCTGCAATATTTGCAGAATTATTTGCCCCTTTGAAACTTAGAAATTTTGGTTATAGGTTCAAGTCTTCAAAAATATTTACTTGAAACTTTACACGTGCACTTAGGGTCATAATTGGAGGGTCATAATTGTATGTCACTGACCAAGTTCCATAACTCTATCTTGCATTAAGTCTGATTCATATCCCCTTTTCTACTTAGTCTCCTCGTTAATGTTTACATGCAAGTTTTACATATCTCAATAACTATTAAAGATATTTATTTAAAATTTCACATATGCATTTAGGGTCATAATTGTAGGTCACTGACAAAGATCCATTATGCTATCTTGCATTTAGGCTGATTTTTCTCCCCTTTTTCAACTTAGAAATTCAAGGTAAAGATTTGCTTGTAAGCTGTTATCTCAATAACTACTGAAGGGTTTGTGCCTTTTTTGGGACAATTTAATGCATTCATAATAATAAAGCAGTGATTTACTTGATAAAACATCTTAATAACAAGCCTTTGTACCTTTTCTGTCAAATTTATGTATTCATAGGTAATTAGTATTATTATACTCAATAAAACACCCTTGTGACATTACCTTCCGAATAGTCAAGCCAATACTGTATAATTAGACTCTCTCTAAGGCCTATTGCATGAATTTATAAAAAAATTTGCCCTTTTGTGAACTTAAAAAATTTAACATTATCAAGGCTCTTTTACTATCAAGCACTTAGAATAGTCGAGCGTGCTGTCCTACTGACAGCTCTTGTTATTGTTAATAATACATTGCATTGTTTATGATTCATATGATGTATTTATATAGTAAATTGTGTCAGAATGATTATCTTGCAATGTTATCTGAATACAGTAAAACCCTTAATTAAGACCACCATCGGGACTGGACCAAAGTGGTCTTAATTGCGGGGTGGTCTTAATTGTAAATATTCTTATCAACATCTGATGGGAAAAAAGGAATTTAATATCAAATTCTATTTGGTCTGATTTCAATGAGGTACATAATTCACCAATCAAATTAGAAATTAATTCTTAGCATAATCAATGTGCCTAATGCAACATTAAACCACTCTTAAATTTACTTTCTCACCTAATTTCATATAATATCCCTATAATATAAGGTGTTTTTGACACCTTGCGAAATTAAGTGTTATTCCTAAGAGCATTCAAGCAGATAATAACAACATTTAAGATCTAGGTAGGTGTTGACTTTAAATCAGAGGTCTCAATAGTGGGGTGAAATAAAGAACAAAACAAAGAATTGGGACTGAATTTGGTGGTCTTAAAAGTGGATAAACGTGGTGGTCTTAATTCTGGATCATGTTACCATTGACATAAGAACAGAAAATTCCGTACTTTTAAAAAATGGTCTTAATAGTGGGGCGGTCTTAATTCCGAGGTGGTCTTATGTAGGGATTCTATTGTACATGTATTTGAGAAGAATGGTGAAAAATGAAAAGGATTGCTATAACAAACTTGCAAGCATGCTAGAAATTGAGGATATGTATATAGAAATTAAACTATTGAGAACGTTGTTCTGCAGCGATATAACAAGTTGAATATTCTATAGATAATGAGATTTATAACACAAGTTTATTTAAAAATATATCGTTCCCACTTTATTGTTTTTGTGCAAAGTAACAAGAGAATTGAGCTGATGTATAAAGAAACTATTACTATGGTGACTTCAATAACAGTCGTTTATCAACTGTGAATATGATTATGACCAAAACTTACGTTTTATTCTTATAAGTTGAAAATATTTTTTTCAGTCAATTCATTTGATCTTTACATACATTGTATATTGTTATATATGTTTTGTTGTTGTTGATAATTTGTATCATTATTATGATATTCTACAATATACATACAAATGGAATAAAATATATCCTTTCTTTTCTTTCTAAAAGTAATAGCAAAGATTATAGTGGAACAAGATGAAAGAGGGTTGCTTTTATCATCGATCAATCAGGAGGCATCTGTCATTCTAAAGGACATAGATAAGCACGAGGAAAGTATCATCAAAAGAATTAAAGATCTTGCAGAGGCGTCTCGAAAAGAAGTGGTTTCCAGACATGCTAAATTTGAAAAGCGTATAAAGGCTGATGTCAAGGAGTTAGAGTCGGTGTTGTCAGTATCTGAGGAAGTTTCAAAAATGTTAAATAACTCTGACTTGAGTGCTACACAGGCATTTGTCTGTGTGAGAAAAAGTAAAACGGTAGCTTCAAGCATTTCAGATACATTGGACGAAATGTCTAAAAGTCGCAGTCTTTCAATTGATTACTGCTTCAACAATGAGCGAATACAAAAGTTTGTGGGTATGAAGTCGCTGGGTTACTTCGAAGAAACTGCAAATATACCGTATAAGGCTAAAAAGCAAGGAATGATAAATGTAAAGTTGGAAAAAGATGGAGACTGCATCATTACTGATATTTGTTTACTTGAAAATGAATACATTGTCATTGCTGACTCGAAAAATAAAAAACTTAAAATGTTGAATGGAAATTATGAGATGAAAAATAATATTGCATTGGCGGGAAATCCTTCCTCGTTGTGTAATGTAGGGCCACTTGAAGTAGCAGTTGCTTTGAGGAATGAGGGAAAGGTTCAGTTTGTATCTTGCGATGGTACATTATCTTTAGGATTTTCATTTAGTACTTCTCAAAGATGTGCAGGACTGTACTTTGACACAAAACATGACGAATTGTACGTTTCCTGTGATAGCTGGGGACGATTTAGTACATCCAAGGTATGCGTGTTTACAAAAAGAGGTGTTCCCACCAGAACATTTGAAAAAGATGAGACTGGCAATATTTTATTTCTTTACCCCAAGAATATCACTATGGAGCCTATTACAGACACAGTATATATTGCAGATGAACGGAATGGAGTCATAGCTTTAAACAGAAATGGTAAACTTAAGTGGAAATACCAAGACCCTAAAGTACGTGATTTAGCAGGGATATGTATGTTACCGGGAAACCAAGTGCTAGTTACAGGCTGTTCATCCAAAAATTTAGTTCAAGTTGGAGATGACGGGAAGAAAATACGTGAGCTACTTGGTGCTTCAGAAAAACTGCCTATTCCATATACTGTGGTCTGTGATAAAAGGAATTCGAAAATTATAGTAGGAGGCGCTTCCAATGAAATACTCATGTATACAATATGGAGGGAGAAACACATCTAATGCATAGGTAAAAGTAATTTTTAAAGTTGATATTTTGTGAGCAAACTATGCATACTGTTTGAAAAGGTGTATAAAGCCGTGTATTAACAATTATAATACATGTACAGTGTGTAGATAAAAGATATTGCACAGACATTAAGAAATTTCTACACAATGGTTGAAGTTGTTGTTGTCTATTGCTTAAATTGAATAATATTGTTTGATTTGTGGTATTTATCATATTTATTTAAATATAATTATGTAACTTATCTAATTGAAATAACGTAAAACTGCAAAAAAAACATTGTTTCTGCATCAATGCATTTTATCAAGTGGCGGTCGAACCGGGAGATGCTCCCTGTATAAGTTTTGGACACAGAAGTAGTTTCTTGTTGATATCTCTTGTAGTTTAAGAATTATGTCCCGGACAAAGTTAAAAGCGTAAAAATGAAAACAATGGTAATAACTCAAAATTAAGGGATGGCAAAGTTACAGTTCTTATGCACTGTAATTCTACTCAATTAGATCTATCTACCTAAAGTTTCTTGTTGATACCTTTTGTAGTTTCAGAGTCATGTCACGAACATATGGACGGACAAAGCGGCGACTATATGATCTCCTTTCGGGGAGCATAAAGTGAGTTTTAACGTTTAAGGAAAAGCTTACAGTTAATTAGAAAACATCATAATTGTGAAGTATTTGCAGAAGCATCTATATTCTTGTCCTCGTAACTTACCGAAAACCAAATATGAAAATAAGTAGACGTAAATGATGCCATACTCATAAAAATCAATCTCTTTATCCATGGAACAAATCGTTGGTGACAAACATGACACAGATGTTTTTTTTAGTTTATTCATCAGCTTCTCATAAAACTGTCAACAATAAAACAATACTCGTGGGCAATGAAAACAGAGTTGAAAATTGTAGACACGGTTTTGTTGGGTCTATTCGTTCATTTTTAGCTCGACTATTCGAATAATATGAGAGCTATTGTAGTCGCGTCGACGTCAGCGTCCGCGTCGGCGTCTGCGTTGGTTAAAGTTTTTTGTAAAGTCCAATAGCTAAATTATTGCTTGAGATATTCAATTGAAACTTACAATATTTATTTATAGTAACAAAGTACATCAGATTGACAAGTTGGATAACTCTGTCTACAATATTGACATAATTATGCCCCTTTGGAACTTTAAAATTTTTTCATGATAATAAAGCAGTGATTTACTTGATAAAACATCTTAATAACAAGCCTTTGTACCTTTTCTGTCAATTCATAGGTAATTAGTATAATTTTACTCAATAAAACACCCTTGTGATATTACCTTCCGAATAGTCAAGCCAATACTGTAGTATTAGACTCTCCCTAAGGCCTGTAACATGATTTTTTTTTAAAAATTAGCCCTTTTGTGAACTTAAAAAATTTAGCATTATCAAGGCTCTTTTACTATCGGGCATTTAGAATAGTCGAGCGTGCTATCCTACCAACAGCTCTTGTTATGTAATTCCTGTCAGTTCTGGTATATTACTTTATGGTGTTTTCCTGGCCCGTTCTCATTAGTTTAAAGTCCAACGTAAGGAAGAAAATGACACGCTATAAGCAGGGGTATATATTATCGGACATCTTTATTTGCAACCTTGTTGTTATACATGTAAACCCATGTACGATATATGCATTAAGACAAGTTGAAGTTGATGTTCTGATAACAAGAGATAGAGAATTTGTTATGATCACGTAATGTCACAAGATGTCTTAATCTAATAAGATATTATCATTTTTAAATTCACATGAAACACTTCTTTCAAGAATTTGCGACTTTGACAAGATATTGTAATATCATCAAGACATCTTTATTTTATACAATTAAGTTTTTTGACAACTGGACAGAATTTGATTTGATATGGAACTTTTGACTGTCTAATTGATACATTGGATACAACGATGATTTATATTGGGAAACATGGTGCAAATACGTGTAGTTCATCGATTACATTTGTTTTAAGATTAAATCATACTAGTAATTTCTTATATTATCTGCAAAGTATATAAACAACAAAATAGTCAATATAAAACACTTCTTTTATGTAATTGTGTAACGAAATGGCGATAAAAACACTCAAAACTCACGAAGTGAACACTCTACCACTATGCTTTTACGCTGAATGGATAAAATATAAATAATTGTTTAGTTGGTAAAAAATTTAGGTGATGAATACATGAAAAATGCTTTTAGAAACCCATATTTGTCAATATTGATTTAAGGAACAGCGAATTCGAGCTGTAAATCCTGTGAAAATAATAATCAAACAAAACAAGAGGCCATGATGACCCTAATATCGGTCATCTGAATAATGTTCATGTGAAGGAACAAATAATATTGTTAACAATAATCGAAAGCAGAACTATAGAATATAGTTTAAATCTTTAATTGATAACATACAGTTCATATATTGTGTAGTGCACGTGTAAAAACATCACTGGTTGCTATTGCTGATGGAAAACAATAGTTTAATACTAAAAAAAGTCACTGGTTGCTATACAATATTCATGTAAATTGTTTCCTTTGAAGTTAGTGCCTGTTATGAAATTCAATGGTAAATAGAAAGTTAATGTTTTCTCAGGAATATGAAATCATTTGTTACTATATATGGAAGTCAATGGTTGTCATGGAAAGCAAACAGTTGCTATGGGAGTCATCGGTTACTATGAGGGTCACATATTGCTATTTGAAAACACTGTTTGCTATGGAAGTCAATGATTGCTGAAGAAAGTCACTGGTTGCTATGGAAGTATATGGTTCCTATGTAAATTCAATGGTGGCTATGGAAAATCAATGGTTGCTTTTGCAAATCACTGGATGCTATGGAAAGTCACTGGTCGCTATGGAAGTCAATATGGAAGTCATTGGTTTCTTTGAAAAATCACTGGTTGCTATGGAAGTCATCGGTTGCTATGAAAAGTAATTGGTAACTTTGGAAAGTCACTTATTGGTATTAAAAGTTAGTGGTTGATATGAAAGTCAATGATTGATATGGAAAGTAAATGGTTGCAATATTGATCACTGATGGAAAGTCAATGGTTCCAACGGAAAGGCACCGATTGGTATTGAAAGTCAATTGTTGCTGCGGAAAGTAAATGGTTGCAATATTGGCCACTGGCTGCTATGGGAAGTCAAGTGTTTCGCTTCAGAAGTAAATGTTTGCTAGGGCAAGTTACTAGATGCTATGGAAAGTCATTGTGTGCTAAAGAAGGCGAGATTGCTATGGAAAGTTAATGGTTGCCCAGCAAACACATGACGTTAAAATAACGTCGGATTAATGTTAGATTTTGGTCACGACGTCGGCGACCAAAATACGACGTAAATCTGACGTTAAAATACCGATGTCTAATAGACGTTTCTTTTTGACGTCGTACTAACGTCAGGTTATGGTCGGTGTCCTGACGGTAGGTAAAAAAAAAAAAAAAACATAATCCTTATTCGCTGTTGTAATCATTTAAACTTTTTTTCAAATGTTATTTGGATTACAAATGAAGTTTTCTTATATAAATACAGACCAAGATCGCGGCGCTGCAACCTAATAAAACATATAGGTGGCGCTGTATATACGCAAGTTACATGTGTTATTGTTATGAAATCTATTTATAGCCACAGATCTGTTTACAAGTTCCAATCATTTAACGTTGTAATATTATCATTTGTGGTACATTATATGTATCAAAATTACGAGTTTTTTTTAATAGTGCTTTAACATTTAATCATAGTGACAGAAAAGGGAAAGAAAACATAATTAACCTTTAATTCGAATCTAAAGTCACGTGGATCACACCGTATTACCGGCGGCAGTGATGGCAGATCACTGCAGTGATGGCAGATATCTGAAAATTACCGATCGGTACAGGTAGGTTATAAATTTGGTTGGTTTAATTATATTACACAAATACGGCCCATATCATTGCTATAAAACTATTGTCCATTGAATGGAGATACTGTAAGGTAATTTTGGACTCGTTTTTTCCTGTTTTCAGACTATTTTGAGCAGGTTAAAAGTGAAAGCATTGGAAAAAATCCGTGAAAATGTCTGTTTTCTGTTCAAAATATCTTCAAGTTTTAAGTAAATGGCAGGATTTCCTGTTATCAATATAGACGTTCATCCATTGGGGTCACGCAAGCCAAATATCTACCCCGTGAGTCTTTTCTTGAAAGTTTTTACAGACGCTCAATCTTGTCCGGTCGAAGAAAAAATGCTGCCGTTGTAGGCAGATACATATTATAAATGCTGCCGTCGATGGCAGAAATACCATGAAAGTGGCTAACATTCTGACAGAAAATCAAGTTCAATCTTTTATCAATTCCTCTTTTCTTTGCGTCCTTTTAGTCGGAATTGAGACGTTAAACTATCATTTCTAATATTTTTCTCAAGATAGAAAAGTTATTAATGCGGTGTATGCATCGAAAAAAGCTTTTAAGCAACATGCAGTTACAATACAAAAAGTGACGACAAAATTTCACTATAAATAGAGAAATGAACATGAAAAACTTCATTTTTCTATATTCATGCATGTGCGCTTGATCTGTTCATATGAATTGAAAGGTCAAAAAAGAGAAAAAAAATATAACAAATCAAAAAATTCTAGTTTTTTTCCTATAAATACAGGATTTATTTTCATCTTGTGATATGAATCATCGAAAGGTTCATCTTTATAAGTTGTCATGGTTACAACTAAAATGAATGAAAAAATATATAGTTAAATGGGAGCGCGTGATGTTTAGAACTGTTTGTTTATAGTTTAGCATAGAAAATGTAAATCAAAGGCAAACTACAACGCTATTACACACATGAAAATTTTAAGAAATGAACGTTGTCGTGTTTTTTCAAGAACTTGATAATATAGGAAAATATTTGAACTGTCAATAATATTATTTTTCCATTTTACATTAACATACATTGTTTTATGATACACTGATGCCAGTTGCGAGGTTAATAGTCTCCCTTTATTACATCAATTTAATAATTTATTATCTGCGCCGATTAAGTAAATTTCAGCCTTTATTTGTCATAAAGCGATGAACATTATTACCTCGAGAAAATAATGTCATATGCTAGCAAATGAATATCCACTTACAGAAGTTACTTGCTGTAATATGCAATTGGCGTTATGTCTTAAAAAGGGAGTGCGCTGCTAAACTTAAGACACATATAGTATTGTATGCATGTAACTGACAGACACAACAGATCAAGCACACATGCATGAATATAGAAAAATGAAGTTTTTCATGTTCATTTCTCTATTTATAGTGAAATTTTGTGGTACTAAATCATAACTTTTTTGTATTGTAACTGCATGTTGCTAATAAGCTTTTTTTTCGATGCACATACCGCATTAATGAAAAAAATCAAAAAAATCTACAAAACAGCAATTTTTTCTTCAAAATTATATGTGAGGCCATGTTTTAACATGGAAAAACGCGTTTTTGGGGTAATTTCGTTTTTCTTTATCAGTTTCTGTTAAACCCATTACCAGATATATACGCCTTTCTACGCCTTTTTCACCCCCCCCCCTCCTTTTTTGCTTTTGCTTTCAAAGAAAACTTTGGACTTGTGGGAGGCTAAAAATGGCCCCAGGTCGATCATAAGGTAACGTGTAACCAATGCTGAAAAGCCTTTGACTCTATCTCAATCCATTGAGAAGTGGCAGCACTTTGAAATCAATTTTGATGGAAAAAATCAACGCAAAATAGTGATTTTTGGCAATTTTGAGATGTCCCCTAGTTGCTATGGT